GATGACAGTGATAGTGACGGTGATGTGACGATGACAATGACGGTGACAGTGACGGTGACGGTGACGATTGTGCTTGTTGTTAAGCACGTGAGTGTACATGTGTTTTTATCGTATAGACCAACTCAGGAAGAAGCACGGGAAAAAGTTCGACATTGAAATAATTTACGAGGACCAACCATCGAACGACTGGACGTCGTTGTTCTACCGCATGCAAGGTATTTACACAGATACCTATTCTATGTACTATATACTGTGACTGAAGTGAACGAAGGTGAATGATTGGTGAGCGAGCGAGCGAACGAGCAAGCGAACGAACGAACGAGTGAACGAACGAGCGAGCGAACGAGTGAACGAACGAGCGAACGAACGAACCGGCGAGCGAACTAACGAACGAATAAAATAAGGTGAAAAAAAACATGATTATTATGTTATGAAAAATGTTATGAATAAAAAACATTACAAAATACTTTATTTAATGTGTACGTATAGTGCATTCGTAGTGTTTACGAGAGCGCGCTCGAACGCGTCATTTTCTTTCCGAAATCCACTCGTGGATCGTACAAATGTTTGTCGCAGGCGTCATTCCAAAACCTGAAAGCTACCTGATCGCGCATCCAGACGTACGCGTCTTCGCCAGCGGGACGTCCTTCTACAAGCAATGCTTCTCCGGTAACTCTCTCCATTTCGGTTTCTCCTCCACGGGAATGCACTGGCTGTCGAAACGGTGAGAGCACTTAAAAATACAGTTTAGATCCAAAATAAGTTATAAATACTTACACTGACGACATTTTCGTCCATCTCTCCTCGATAGACTTCCTCCATGGTTTCCTCCCAGGTGAGACACTGCTGCCGTTAGCGTTACAGATACAGAGTAGACGCTTGTCATAGTTGCGGACCTCTGGAGTATCGCGTATAGCGAGGATATTGGGAGGGGGTGGCAGATCGGGGCGAGTGAACGCGTGCCCGCAAGCATGGGATGAGATGCGGAAATCTGCGTTCGGATTTTCTTGGCCAGCGGTCAAGTTTTATTTAAAAATGGCGTCTTGAGTGGCCTCTTGAATCGCGATGGTCGCAACATGGCGGCTGTCCGTAAACAGCGGTGACGTCATTCGCGATAGAGTGCTAGTCGTGCTTTGGCTTGGCTGAGTTTTTAGCCTCTTATCGTCTGCTGTCTGTTACACACTACTGATGTTGCTGGCAAGTTCGCGAAATGAAATCCTTTATCATGTTCGATTACTTTTATCATATATATCCATCCGTCCCATCCAATCCATCCATCCATCCATCCATCATTCCATCCATCCATCCATCCATCCATAACAATCCATCCATCCATCCATCATCAATCCATCCATCCATCCAATCCAATCCATCATCCATCCATCCATCCATCAATCCATTCAGGCATCCCCACCATCATCATCTATATATCTATCTATCTACTAATATATCTTAATCTTTATCTCATCTATATACTTATATATATGATATGTGTGCTTGGCGCCGCGCGCACCGTTCTGTATTACGTATACTTCTACTACTGTGACCATTTCTTTTTTTCTCAATCTCGATGGCTCTAAACGTCTCTCTTTTTACCTCTTACATATATATATATCCTCTCCCACTCCCCCCACCCCACTCTCTCTCTCTCTCTCCCTTGCTCTCTTCCTCAATTTCTCTCATCTTTACTTATCTATACTGGCTTGTCTCTGGGTTTCTTTAGGCCATGTACAATAACTGGTGCCGTACACTTCACGGGAATCACCGTTCCCGAGGAAAAAGAGAAGTTTAAACGTCAGGCAGCCGAAGACTGGGCCACCATACTCGTTAACAGGGCTAAGGAGTTGCAGCCAGGTACGCAGTAACTAAGTAATAATAATAATAATAATAATAATAATCGTAGTAGTAAGTAAGTGATAAGGATGAACTTGTAGCAACATTGACCAACATATTTCCCGTTAGTTCACATTTAGTTTTAATAATATTTAGTTATGAGGTATAGGAGGTTAATAGCAAATTATAATAATTTATATTTCGCTCATTATTTCCGTATTAATCTGTTTCATATTTAGTTGGTAGAATTATAGAAACGATGTGTGTGTATATATATATATAGCTACTATCAGGAGCGTCATAATATAGGCAACTATATGTACGGTACACGTGTGTATGCATGGCATTACAGGTGGACGGATGGTGATAGCTAACTTCACCGTGGACAAGGAGAATCAGTACCTGGGAAACACGAAGCGCGTCAAGTGCAACATGTTCCAGATCATGACGGACAAGTGGCGCGCTCTGGTGGACAAAGGCATCATCACCGCGGTACGGGCGCGCGCTCGCCGCCTTCTTTCGCCGATCTTTGAGGCGTATATTTCTTTCTCAAGCTTTCTCACTACGGGTTCTCCCACCCCGTTGATCATTTATCCGTGTGTTCGTTCTTCTCTCAGGAAGAATTCCTGAATACTACGATCAATAACTTCGCTTTTCTTTCGCTTTTCTCTCGGCGATCTTTACAGCGTATATTTTTTTCTCAAACCTTCTCACGACGGCCTCCCCGCCCCGGTTGATAACCTATTCGTGTGTTCGTTCTTCTCTCAGGAAGAGTTCCAGAATACTACGATCAACAACTATTATCGCACGGAGAAGGAAATTACGGCACCGCTGACGGACGTCGAATCTCCCGTCTACAAGCTCGGCCTCCGACTTGTCTCGATCGAGACCAAAGTCGTCAACTGCTACTTCCACGTCAGGTGGCTGGAGAGCGGCAGAGACGGTTCGTACACGTACAATGCGGGCATTTCAAACGATATATATATTCTTGCTAGGAGGAGATGGGGGAGGGAGAGGGAGCGAGGCACCTAATGCATTTATACGTATTATTAATAATCGTAAAATTGTTTAATATAATTATATATAATTTAATTTATTTAGTCGTTAAAATACGTATTAATAATTATATGTATAATTATAATTATTATATTAAATATTCGCAGAGAGAGGCGAGTACGGCTTAATTTTAATTTGAACGCCTCAGTAGTTATCGATAAATATTAAACCGTCGTACCGTTGAATATGGTTGTGGGATTATTTCGTACATATTTGCACGGGAACGGTTTATACTGGTGTGATGGTCAGGGAGTTTTTTCGCTCTATATAACCTGAGAACAATATATACATGTATATGTGTATATGTATATATATATCGTCTATATATAGTTTTCTCTATATAACGAACGTCCTGTTAGTGTCGTGAATAATTTTCGTTATTCGTCGCCAGATGACGCTGACGCCGTGCGAGCTCACGCGAGGTCGTACGTGAGGACGATTCGTACCTGGTCGAACAGCTCGTTTCTCTCCGGTCTGTCCGACTGTCGCACGCCCGAGGAGAAGGCGGCAATCGTCGACGCCTTCTTCCAGAGCTACGAGGACGACGTCGCTAGGAATCCGAGGGACCATGCCATGGATTACGTACACACGTACACGCACCTGCGAAAGCTGGAGGAGTAATCCTATATATATATATATATATATATATATATTCTTGTATATATTGTTCTCAGTATATAACGAGCGTTCTGTTAGTGTAGCGAATAATTTTCGTTATTAGTCACCAGATGAAATAACGTCAAATAATGATATTCGTAACCGCCCTACTGTTAAATACGGTCGTGCGAATTTACGTACCTATTTGCACGGGAACGTTTATACTGGTGTGAAGGTCAATCAAGTTGTGTCTATATAACTATATAGTTCTATATAGTTTCGTCTATATAGTTTTGATATATAACTATATAGTTCTATATAGTTTCATCTATATAGTTTTGTCTATATAACTATATGGTTCTATATAGTTTCGTCTATATAACTATATAGTTCGATATAGCTTCGTCTACATAACTATAATTATAGTTCTATATAGTTTCTTCTATATTA